GAAAGCAGAGGGGATGCCAGCAATGTTTTCCTGGGCGCTGAGCAACAGGGGCCAAAGGTCACGCATAAACTCACGCGCATTCTTCCCGTTCAGGAAGCCAGTCAGGTTGATCTGCATCATTTTGCTGTCTGGATTCTGAAACACAGACACAGGGGGACAAAGACATGCACCCCGTTCAGAATGCGAGGAGAAGACAGTGTGGTTGGTCACAGGCTCTCAGCTGCCCTCTGCCTCTCGTCTAGCCTGCCGTAGAAGACATTTTACCTTCTCTATCTCGCCTGTGAGCCTGCTGACCATCATGAGAAGGACCAAAGAGCCTGTAGATTCTACGGCAGGGTGAGCCCAGCTGTTTGCTCTGATAGCATTAAACCTGAGCATTTAGCTTGTCGGGACCATGAGTGGGCTGGTACTAGCTTTCCACTGAGAAAAATAAAAATAAAATAGAAGTCTTCCTTGCATGCATTACAAGTTAAAAGAAATGCCTAGTAGTTTAAAGTATGCAGATGGAGATGGGTGTTTTAAAAGCTACATTCTTTCACACCTATCTGGCCAAGTACCTGTGAACCAAACCCTCGCACTGTCTGCTAAGAGTCTGGTTTGTACCCACCCCCACCCACCCCCACCCCCCTCCATCAAAGTCACTTTGTCTCTAAGCAACCAGATGCTCAGAACAGGGTGCATCGAGACCGACAAAGCAAGTACAGTTCCGGTGTCTTCCGGGTGTCCCAGGGGATCTGGAGGTCTGGGAGCCTCCTGCAGAGAGAGACGTTTCCTGGGCTTGGCTCCGCCTCCCTACTGCTTGAGACTCAACCACCTTGAGCTTAATCTTATACCATTTATCTAAATTGCAAAAAACGAACAAGCAATAATGAGTACACAAGCCACAAGAAAAGTGAAGATTGCTATTCATTTACTCTGAGAAAACAGCAGATAAACTACCCTTTACCATTACATGTGCTGTCATTCACATACAGTCATGAAATCTAGATTCCCACAGCTCATATTAGCATGTGCTGAAATAGATATTCATTGCTTAGACGTCTTCCTCCATTTAAGATGATCAAAAGTATACCTGTGCTGTCAAAGGCTTCACATGGATCAAAAACCTTCAAATATTAAGCAAAACATTCAGAAACAAGACTTAGGGGTGCACCGATGGGGAGGGAGGGGTACAGGGCCCATTCTGTGATCCTGAAAGGTGCTCGGTGTCACAAAAGGCTGCCCTAACCAAAGGGAATTAACATCTGACGCGCTCTTGCAACATGAGAGAGATCCCAGAATGCAACAGTTGGTATGTATCAACCCCCCTTTGACTGGTTGCTAGAAGAAAGAACTGGAAAAAAACAAAATAAAAGAAAAACCCTAAGATATTGGACAGCTAAGTTCCAAACAAATCTCATGGCAGATTTACTCAAATGGAGTAAAACTCCATCAAAAACATCACACAGCATCAATAACTTGGAAGTGTAGTTCAGGGAAAAAAAGCCACTGAGAAAGACTCACAGTCAGAAGCAGGCAGCTGAAACTGGACTCTCTTTAACCAACCATTTTAACTAGGCTGTCCTTAGACCAGCATCATTCAAAACGATTCACAGGAATGACGTTGGAGAAAGGCATCACTTGCCCGCAAAGGCTTTTTATAAAAATTAAAACTCACTGTTAGTATGGATGAGAACTTTTTAGTCATATAAAAGGAGTGCGGATAAGTCTGTACAAACATTTTAGCCCAACTCAGTAAATCTGATTAACTGAACAGACATCAGCAAAGTCAACTTGGGGGAGGGGGGGGGGGCAAACCATTCATCTATGCTTAAAAACAACTACAGACCACAGTACATAAAACTATCCACTCTTGTAAGATGAGCATTGTTTGCTTACTATTCTGTTCAGCTATTTGATCCATGGAATAGATGTGCGCTCCCTCGCAAAGAGCTTATTTTAAAAAGGATGGGGAGCAAGACATCACTATCACTGCTGTGGGCAACACCGTGAAATACAGAGGTAATGTCCCAGACAACCGTGTCCTGTAGGCATCATGGGCAGAGGACGCTGAAAGGCCTGGGAAGCAGGACCCAAACAGACAGAAGCTCATCCAATGCCAACCACGAGCTATTTGGGCGATCGATCGGTGCACCCCTACCATTGACCTGAGATGAGGCTTCAAACAAGAGGACTAAAATGGGAAAATGAAACCTACAAACAAACCAATGCCGTGAATAGTTGTATCAGGCTGAATTGGGCTATTTGTCTGTGACAACGCTGTTGCCTTTTGAGAAAGTTCAACAGAATTTAAAGGCTTTTACAGGCGTGCTACTTAGTGCAAAAACCTAGCCCTATGTACAGCTTTGTTCCTGTTTTTTTAAAAAAATGAAAATGTGAGACATGACAGTGTCTAAATGCTCTATTTACTGTCACGGGTTCCAAGCCCTGCACACAACTCACCTCCAAACAAATACTGCATCATCAAAGGAGTTGGAGCTCAGTGAGACCTAATTAGGTGATGTTGCTATACTTCTGATGCAAGGAATAACATCCATATTGGTTCAGGCCTTTTAAATCATAAATCACATCATCATTAGAAAACTGCTGTCAAAGGCACTCTGTCACACAGAACAGTAACAATTGTTTTTGCAAGACATTTGCTTTCCCAATGTGTAGCTGGGCCAGTAGGGCACCAGATGCAATCTCTCTAACATAAATTACTGGAAGGTTTATCATTGTTACATTTCCATCCTCATACCCACATGGTAAAGAACCATGAAGACCTACACTTCATCTGAACACAAGAGTAGAGGAGCAGATACAGGTTTGATGGCAGTACCTTCTCCTCCAGCTGGTTGAAAATAAACTCTATGACGACGTCATCCTCGAACCCTAAAATCTCTGTCACTCGCTGGGTGATCCAGGGTTTGATAACCTCCAGGTTCACCTTGGTCATGTCCACCTGCAAAAGCAAACCGGAAGACGGTCAATGTTTGGCGGTCCCGGACTGCCCCTCATCTGGTTGGCTCGGCTCCGATCGGCCCGCCCGCTCACCTTCTTCTCCAGGCATTCTGCGAACTTCAGCTGCTTCAGGAGCTTCTTCTGCTTGTTGCTGAAGCGATTATCCTGCTCTGCGCTCGTGCCCTGCGCAGCGGAAAGGCGCGTTACAGTCATACTTCTGCGGAAAACCTACGCCGTAGCCTGACGCGCACCTCCCCGCAAACATAACTACAGCGTGGGGGATACGGCGTAGGAAACGCGCTCCCCAACGGCGCACATTATACTCAGGAAAATATCAGCCTTTGAATAAGGTTCACGCGCGAGCGCGTGCAGGGCCCAGTGATCTACCCCATCCAAGTAACCTCAACCACGTAACCCTAACTTAAAAGCCACCCCGATAACAAAACCCTGCAGGCGGCCCGACAAGATGAAACATAAAGGCCCCGGTGGCCTACAGCTACAGGCCCCTCACCGAGGGTCGGCGGACGGGAGGGCGAGCAGCTGCTAGCCTTTAGTAACGTAGCATAATCACGGGGAGGGTCACATACATCGGGGTAAAACCGTAATGCGGCGCCGTTATACCGGACAGCGCCACGTTGGGACTAGGAAACGAGGCACTGCTCGAAGTTTAGAGCTCGGGTTAGCTAGCAGTAATACGGGCAAAGGAAAAGGGTAGCCCACCTAGGTTGTGTGTACAGAGGGACCCCACCGGGCTCGAAGGCAGCGCCTAGGCCGAAGCGGGCAAACACGGCCCGAGCTCCGCTAAAATACGCGGATTGGGAGCTAGCGGCCCAGGAGCCTGTTCTGCGCTCCTACGTTGCCGCCATTTTCCCCCGCTCGCCGCGGAATGGCGCCGGTATTGCCCCGGCTCGCTGGCGATAAATCGCAGCATAACGGCTTACGCAAATACAGGAACGCAAAGCTAACAAAGTCTCAGCGAACACAGCAGCAATAAACGAGGAAATAAATAGCGGCGTTTGTGTTACTCACGCGGAAAAAGCCCGCGTCCATCTTCTATGCGAGGGGAGAACTGCGTGACGGAGGAAGAGGTGCTCGTAACCCAGAATGCAACGCGGCATACCGACTCTTTAATTCCACAGAGGGCCACTAAGTGGCGCTGCGGCCAAACAGGACGATTGCACTAAGTCATACATTCAGGCTATTTAAAGCGCCGGTATTTTGCACATTCGCGAATGTCCTGGTGAAGCCTCAAAACCGCGACCCTGACCAGGATAAACTGTCAGAAGATGGTTGGATGAATCTCTTTTCGAATGAATCTACTGAAGTCTGATTTCAAATAAACGGCTGTTTGGGTCTTTTATACATGAACTCACCGAAGCTTCATTCATCGTTATGGGCATAATATGTCTTTTTTATTTGCAGTAGTTTAAGATTAAATATAATGAGAAAGTACATGTGTAATCGGGGTCTCTAAAAATAAAAGTGGATACTAGGTGTCTGAGGAACTACAGTGTAAGTCAGAATGCCCGCTCGCAGTTTCTGATACTGGGAGGCCAGGATTTTTTTTTCCATTTCTGAGAGCTGTGAAATAATTCTTTGTCAATGTGAGTTAATTTAACTTTCACAGAAACGCCAGCAGCAGAGTGCTTGTGCAACGGCCACGGGCAGCGTCTGCACTCCCCACCCCCACAGCAGAACGATGCCATTTAGGCCTGAAACAAATGGGTTTTTGTTTGTTTCTCTCTTTTTAACAAAGTAGGTTTTCATCATCCCACCAGCAAGGCTGTTTGATAGCACCACACTGTAATTCTATACTAAGGAAAGACGGGGGTAGATGGCCGGAGTCCTAGGGAAGAGGCGCCGTGGGCAGTTCCTGCAGATCACGCGGCCACTTTCCTCACCCCTGACTTGCAATGGCGGCGTGAACAAAAGCGCTCCTCTGACAGTGACGGAGACGAGCAGGTGTGGTGACTGGGCTCACCACACTGGAATGTTCTTTTGATTCCTCTGTCTGCCTGATCATAGCCTGCTTTGCTATACATAAACCGCAGACAAAGTTTTCATGTAAAAGTTGTACATTTATTTGGGTCACCAGCTGGCCTCCTATTGACATTTATATAGACCAGTCAGTGACATTAAAACCAGTTTCATGACTTGACAGGGAAACGGAGTGCTGAATGTCATAATGTCATTTAGGAACCGAGCCGTACCCGACGCCTACCGCAAAGAGGTACTAGTTATTGTGTGGGTCCAGCTCGCTTCCACTGCGGATGGGGCGGCCCAGGAAAGGCGTTGCCGAGTTTGGAGAGCGACAGTGACGTAAAACTGAAGAGATGCTTATTTACTGTTCACACGGTGTATATAATGATTTACTATGTGCTGATTTCCACTAGCATGTCTGTGAGAATCGCCGTCTTATGTTAGCATCAAACGCTAGCGGAATTAGCTTGCATAAATATACATTACCAAACCATTCCCTTCAGCCATTCTTCAGTATTTTTTTTAAGAAGGAGGTGCGATAATACTACTAATAAATAAATATATAGAATACTCGTTTTTCTTTTTTCAGATAATCCAGACATATCAACGCAGAACAACGGTATCTCCAGGAATTTTGATCAATCAGACAGTGGTGACGGTGGCCATGTCAGAGTAGGTACAGTTTGCGTAATTTACAATGAACAACTACTCAATGGCGCCTGAATGGGCAGCATTTTTGGAATGCATTCTTTAGACCTTCTGAGAGCATGACAACACTATCATTGTGTTGATCTTGTGTTCACAACAACAGTCTTTCATACTACGTGCTGATGGTGGTGATGATGTCCGCTTTGTGTTTGACAGCAGTACCAGCATCTAAAAACATTTTCCACATTCTTAAGCCAATTCATCGTTGACATCACAGAAGAGGCGTCACCGGACGGAGATACACATGAAGACACCGCGCAGACTATCCATACTACACACCAGTGTCAGGGACCCGGACGAACAAGTCAAACTGCTTACTAACAGCTGTTATGTACAACAGTTCAGCGTAATGCAGTATCTGACCACAACACATAGTAATTGGGTGAGTCTCCGATAAACATATCAAGCTAAGAAGATGAGGAAGAAGCCTGGAGGCACCTCTCCTTGCTCAGTGTGAGGATGACCCTTCTGTCTGCGGCCGCTCACAGCCTCGCTGCCATCACGTCCTGGGCCGCTGATCGCCCTCCCAGCCAAATATAACGAGTTTGACTGAAAGCCCCCCCCCCCCCCGGCCCACCCCGGCCCACAAAATCCGGCTGGCAGGCGGCACCATCTCCTCTGCTTCTTCCCCCAGCCTATCCCAGCATCCTTTTTGTGTCGGTGCAAGGTCCCAAGTCCTGCCCTTGGCTATGTGTTCTCCAGCGGTGGGCAGTCATGTACAGCGGCCACCGTGGAGCCGTTGGTTGTGCCGTCCCACTCGGCGCCTGCTCCGCCCAAGCTGCTCCACTCAGCTCTGGGCAGATAGAGGCCGTTTGCTGCGCTGGTCTGTAGATGTGCCGAGCCACCCGTCGCAGGGCTGGTGGACAGGCTGTGTAGCTGCACGTTGGTGTGCACCGTGGACGACTTCTTGGGTGGCCTGGAGCCTCGGAGCATGCGGGTCGCGTGTGTCCTCCTGTTCAGGGACACAACGTCACACATCCAGACTGTTAGCAATCACCAGCCGCCACCGGCTCCTTCCCTTCACATTCATATTCTTCTTCCTCAGGAACTATTCAGGCTTTCATTTCCATATTTTATGATATTACTTCTAAATATTAAAAACAGCCTTTGCCTACAAGCTGCATTCTGCTGGCTGACACAGACATGCCTCTGGTGAGAAGCACAGAACCCTGCGGCCTGACCTGTTGTAGGTCTTCAGAATTATCAGCAGTATGGTGAGAATGATGACGATCCCAATGACTACGACAGCTATCATGGCCCCAGAACCTGGAAAGGGAGAGCAGGAGGTCACTGAGGGCAGCTAAGCTCTGCTGTAATCTCACCAGGTGACATTCATTTCTGCTGTGAGATCTCCTGTTTTCGGACGAAGCCGCCTCTCTGGAGAGAGTTCATAGGTGCCTCTGCCTTTTTTGGCTATTTTATACAGCCGTGTATCTGGGTGAAGACTGTGTGTTGATATCACTACAGCATCACAGGGATGTCCAGCGAGCTGCACTGAGTTTCGCATGCACGCACACACAGAGCAGGGTACGCACTCTGCATCAGGATCTGCTCGTACGACTTGGTGGTGTTTTGGGCAAGCGTGGTATGGTTGGACACTGTGTGGGGCGTTGAGGTCTGCATCCTCTCCAGGCCCCTGTAAAGGAAAAGGGAAACCCCGTTAGTGGGAGAGCAGGATGAAGGAGCAGCCGGCCAAACCAGAGAGACACTCGTTAAAAGAAAGTTGTATGATTCATTACTATACATGATGACAGGAAGTGCTTGAATAAGAAGGATATTAGTATGGTACACAGCATGCAGTATGCAGTATACAGTATGCAAGCACACAGTATGCAGTACACAGGCAAATTAGAGATGCATATTCTTATGCTTGCCGGGCTCACATCGATGAGGAAGAAATTTGTGATTCCTGCTCAAATATGCTGAATAAGCAATCATTGAAGAAGACTCGGAAAGAACAGGGAAACCCGTGAGCATGGATCTCACTTTGGCAAAGCTGCAGGACAATATTATTCACATTCTTACAAATAGGATAAATGAAAAGAGCAAATAAAACAGATGAAGCTGTGAAATATAACACTGAAAAGAAAGATTTGAAAAAAAGATCACTGAAATATCGTCACCAAGAAGCGGTAGGGCTTAAGAAAGAGAATGCTGTCTTGAAGGTGAAATACAAAGAAAGAGAGAGAAAGGATGCGGGGGTCCAATCTTCATTTGTGTGGAGTAGTTGAAAAGGCAGTGGAAAATGTTAAATCTACAGTTCAGGACATGCTTCAAGCATCCTCCTCTGAAAGGGATCCTCAGACGGTTATATCAGGAGCAGAAGGGGCTCATTGGCCTGGAAGGTCCCCAGAGGGCAGAGGACAAGGCCAGACACCAAGAGCAATACCTATTAGATTCCTCTCCAAAATGGCAAGAGATGCACTGTGGAAAGGCTCCAAAGAGGAAGGAATATCTCAAAAATAATACCGTATGCATCAAGGAAGACATGACATTAGCAGATAGAGCAATGCATAATCGTTTATGGACATTGGTGTTGCAGGTGAGAAAGAGAGGAGACTAGGTACTTTATCAGCAGCTGGGCGTTTGTAAATAGAAAGGAACGTTAATCCTTTTTTTCCATAATGGATGTTCAAATATTGCACAATGTTTTGTTGGAAATGCATGCTTCCTTTATGTAACCATGGTAAGGAGTGTGTGGATTTTTCAATAGTCATAAAGGCAGCAGATAGTCCTAATGTTGTGAGAACACCTATGATCTTTAAGTAAAAGGTAAATTAGACTTTAGGATTTTTTACGGCTTTGTGTCTATTTTATGGTGTCACAATGTCAGGTGTATAAGAAATCAGTATAAAAGGGTGAAGAAAAGGTGGAGGTGAGCACAGGTGAGTCCACCTGCCTGACGCCCCTCGGACGCCCCTCTTACGCCCCTCTGACGCCCCTCGGACGCCCCTCATGCCCCTCTGACGCCCCTCGGACGCCCCTCTTATACCCCTCTGACGCCCTTCTGACGCCCCTCGGAAGGCGCCGTCACTCTGGCTGCAGGGCCGCCAGCCAGACGCCAACCTGCACTGACGTTTCACCCCTTTAATCCCGGAACATCTCCAGGTGGTGGAGCAGCGGTGGGGACGTCTCCCTGTAGGCAGCCCGCAGATCCCTGCTTTCCCCCCACTTGGTCCCTCATTCTGCCTCCTCTGCCAGGTCATTAAGAACCTTCTTCAGCTTGAGGCCTGCAGTTCCCAAAATCCGCTGGCTGGATGTTCTGCGAAGCCTCTGCAACTAACTTCCACTGAATAAGTGAAGACCCCCCCCCCCACCGCTTGTGAGCATAAAGCTGCCAGTTCTCTCTACATCTCATTCTTTCTTCTGAAGGCAGCTTCCATCCCCTCTTCCTACGGAATGGCCAGTTTAGCCATAAAGACTGTCCTAATAGAGGTGGACCAGATTACACTGTCTGGCCGTAGCGAGGTCACAGTAATCCCAGCTCTCATGGTCCACTTGCCTCCAGGTGACAGAAAAGGCCACTGCTTTGTTCTACTGCTCTGAGCCTCGTCCCCTGAATCCGTCGCTGTGATGGTACCAGGCCGGCCCTCTTTGTTTCCACCTTGCATGCTTCCAGAATTTCGCCTAAGCTTGTGCAGGTCCTGTGTCATTGCTGCCTTGCACTCAGAGAGGAGGGGCTGCCAGGTCATGTTATGCATGTCTGCTCTCAGCCGCGCCGGGTTCCAGGGACTGGGGAGGGTATCGTATGTGGCCCTGATGAGGAGGCTGAGCCCCCGTGATGCTCCTGGTGACCACAGTCTCCCAGGCTGTCCAGCTCCCTAGCTGGTCTTTTGGTTGTTTGGAGACATAAATCTCCCGGTCAGCGAATGTATGCTTGGAGCAGAACAGATCAGTCTAAACAATCCCGTCTAGATTTTTGGCTAACTTTGAGGGATGTGGTAGATAACATTTACTCTGCAGATTTAATTAACTGACCGTTTTAATGGACCAGAGGGCTATTTCAATTAAGATTGGAATATGTGGTTCTAATACTCTTAATCATATTTGGAAGTACTGGAAATTAAATAAAGTTTAAAGATATTAAATGAAAAGTTCTGGATAAATACTGGAGCCATGTTGCTGCTGCCCATACTTTTGGGCATAACTGTGAAATGATGATATATGAAAAAAGTACCAAAGCTATTAAAAAGGGAAAATTAAGTGCTGAAGCTCAGAAACTAAAGGGGAATAAAATAATCGACGACATAACAAATGTCAACAGAATGGATTTTAATGAGCAGGAATTGACTTTATTACCAATCCACCATCACAGTAGCCGCTTAATCCCACCCGGGGTTGCGGGGGGGACCTGAGCCTGTCCCGGGAACAACACAGTGTAGGGCGCACACAGTCACGGGGCCAACTTAGACTCACCCATCCACCTGCCCTGCACCCTTTTGGACCGTGGGAGGAAACTGGAGCCCCCGGCGGAAACGAACACGGGGAGGGCGTGCAAACTGCACACAGAAAGGAGCCGGGACCGAACCCAGGACCTTCTTTCTATAAGGCAGCAGTGCGAACCACTGAATTTATTATCTTCATTAAAACAGTAAGATCTGAGAGAGAGCGGGGGGGGGCGTCAGTAAGATCTGAGAGAGAGCGGGGGNTTTTTTTTTGCGTCAGCCATAGGTTTATGTTCAAAACGATTCAGTCTTTTGGTTAGGAATTGCTCTATAACGCAGTCAGAGCCTTTATACAGGCTGCTGTAGCTCTGGTGAGTGTCTCTGCGAGCAGATGCTAGGCTTAGCATGTACAAGGCATCGTCACCCCTTCTGCTTGCATGGAGACACTGTCCATGGTGTCTGGTTTAGAAATTAACGTGGCCAAATGTGTTACTCCTGCTTAGGGAGTGTAATGCAGTAGAATTACACGGCATCCCTGTCAAAACCTCTGTGACTTATTTAGGTGTTATTATACATAAGGATGAAAAACAAGGTACCTCCTTGGTTATTAACGGGCAGCTGAGAGCTCCGTCATTAAATGCTAGGTCCTCTTATCCAAAGGAGATAGGGTCCCGAGGTTAGAGTAGGCGCCCCCAGCTCTGGAGGCGCCTTAGGATAAGATGCACTTCGATTTTATACGGCGTGATAAGCCGCACTCTTTGGAAGACCACGTTTTGTATGGTGGCCTAGGAGTGTTAGAACTTATGAAACATTAAATAATACATTTAAAATACACTGGCTTATTAAATTCATTAAAGAAAGTGATAATATGTGGCACACATCCCCAAAATATTTATCAAATTTAATGGGTGGCATAGAATTTTTGTTACAGTGTAACAATAAAATTGAAAAATTGCCAGTTAAATTGGCTGATTTCCATAAACAGGCTTTGCTGACCTGGGCATCAGCATCTTTGCTAGTCCCCTGTGTGTGTACCACGCTAAAGCTTCCCCCTTCGTTATTCCCCTGTGTGTGTACCACGCTAAAGCTTCCCCCTTCGTTATTCCCCTGTTTGTGTACCACGCTAAAGCTTCCCCCTTCGTTATTCCCCTGTATGTGTAGCACGCTAAAGCTTCTCCCTTCGTTATTCCCCTGTGTGTGTTCCACACTAAAGCTTCCCCCTTCACTATTCCCTTGTGTGTGTACCAGACTAAAACCTCCCCCTTTTTATGTCTTTATTTATTTAGCAGATACTAAATAAGCATTTATCCAGAACAATATACATTTTTTGTTAATAGATGGTCTTAGTCACTTTGCCTACCCTGTAATTTTGACTGGCACCTAACGCAGCACGCTAACCCCCCACCCCACATTCAGGAGGCTGGCACTGTACACCCACGTGGCCTTTACCGCATCACCACTGTGCAGCTCGAGCGCTTTAAACGTCCAGCTTTCCAGGAGGGAGGGCTGGCATCCATCGGCCAGGCTAATGAGTAGCCAGCTGGCTTCAGCACAGACAAACACCTCTTAAGTTACACCGTTTGTTGGCTCGACAGTGTTTGCCAATTTGTGGACAGAATGAGGTGGTTATTGCCAGTGTGCGGAGGTTGCTTAAGGGGCGGGTCGCACTCTGGGATAATCGTTGAGATGGGGGCAGCTCCTATCGGACCCCTCCCACAGGGCACAGAAAACGCAAACAGACAAATCAAATGGGTGAAAGCGCAGGTTGTGTAAGTCGTTAAGTATCAGGAACGGGATCAGCAAATTAATTACATCATGTAATCACGGTTACATCCCAACGCATTTGGGCAGCTATGGAAAGAGCCAGGAAATTCCTGCATTGTGTTTCAGCCTGACAAAGTGTGACAGCTGAGTTTGGACCGGAAGCTTAGCTCTGGCTGCCTCTGAAATGTCACTCAGTGCCCCGTCTCACAAATAGGCTGAGGACAGCCACCTCGGGCAGGATCACATCGTCCCTCACGCCAGCCGTCACGTGTCATGTGAGGTCATGTGGTTGAACGGCTTCCTATGACAGCATACGTGGAATTGGCTTTAGGTGAAACCTCGCAAAACTAAAGTTATTATGAAAGATCTAAAGTATCCGTGTGAAAAACCCCACAGGATATATTGATATATTTACTTATGCTAATGATGCTTCAAACTCCCGGTCACATGGTTAGAGATACATGGGGCGGGCTGGCGGGGGAGCAGGTCACCTGGCGGTAACCGTAGAAACCCCAAGCTGCTCCACACTCAGAATCAATATTTGCCTGCCAGCTTTTATGGCCAGTGGGGGCGGCTGCTAGTTCCGGATTTTCACCTGAGCGTGAAACGCAGCCCCCGGCCAGCCTCCCTAGCCCCTCTCCTCAGCTCAGTCGCATTTTCCAAACCACAGAAGAGGCCACGTCCCTTAGAGATGTCACACCCTTATGCACAGAAACGCGTCTTCATCACAGCGCCAGCTGTGGACACGCGTGATTAGCAAGCCATTAGCAGGCCGCTCTGCTGAAAGACAGCTCTGGGAAGACCAGCTTTACATCTGCCGCTGCCCAACTGATAGCCGATTAATCCCCCCCATGGAGAATCCCAGCTGACATGCTGGATTTCAGTTTAGTTCAGGAAAATCCTTGATTTTTAATAGAGCTCTTAGCTGTTTGATGGCCTCAGACGTAGCTTTTCCTAATCTTATACAAACATCCCCCGTTTTCTTACTTGCACATTCGATCCCGAACAATACGCCTTTAATGACGGCGTCCAGCCGCCTGCTTTGAGGGCTGGATTGCTCCACCTTAGCTGTCAGGCACTTGGATGGAAGCTTTACCTGAATGGCGTCCAGCGGCGACACCCAGAGCCAACAGCCAGACTTTGGGCGTCCTGGACTCAGCAGAGGCAGCCCACACCGGCACCCATCCCGAAGCCCAAATCGGCACGCAGCTCCCGTCAGCTCTCTCGGTCCAGCTGGAGCGCCGGCCGCCACAGCGCCTTCTAGGTCACCTATGCAGTTCAGCCGTGCTGGGAAAAGGGACAGGAGAGCTGAGAGGACTGGGTGAGTGAAAGAGATAGAAAGAGGGGGAGAGAAAGAAAGGAAGGGAGATAGATAGAGAGCGAGAGAGAGAGAGAGAGCGAGAGAGAGAGAAGGAGAGAGGGAGAGGGGCAAGGTGCTACTTACCTTCCTGGGAGCCCGACTGCCATAAACTGCCCGATTCAACCTGAAATGCGGAGCCTGCCGGAAACCTGCCTGGTCAGAGGGGTCAGGGAGGAGGCAGCTTTAGAGCGAGAGAACAGAGAGGGGGAGTGTGGGGCTGACTGGAGGAGCCACACACAGTCACACTGCTGCTGCACTTCCCAGCTCTGACACCAGCAGGTTTTTCTGGTCTGTCTGGGCTCAGGGGCGGGCCGGGACAGCTCAGCGAGAGGCTTCCCCGTCACACGGGCACGGCCGCGGCCCCCACGCCCTCACTCCCTGTCCCAGCACCCCCTGCTGTGCGGGGAATTTCCCACTCATATCCTGTATGCTCAATGGGGGGGGGGGCATGCAGAAGGTGATGGCTGGTAGGCTGGTTGTGAGTAAGGGGAACTCAGCACGTGTTTCTGTAATTTATAAGTGAATCAAATGCATCAAGGTGCTGAAACTCCTGCAGACTCACTTCCCCAAAGGCTAAAGTTCTCTGCAGATCATGTATTGTTACTAGAGCAAATACAGGAAGAGCGGCCAGCCGGGAGCCAGCGACTCTGCCTTCATCCCGCCTCCTCCTCCTCACAGGTAACCATGGTAATGGACTTTACTCCACCATCTGTGATAAATCTCAGGCAGCCCTCATGGGGGGGGGTTGATGCCCCTCTCCCCCAAACGAGGGAATCACCGAGGACAATCGGTGTGTCCCTGAGGTGTCATCAGTGAGTCCATGTCAGCAGTACTGCAGGACAGATGGGGAGGGGCAGCAGAAAACGAGTCTAGGCTGCGTGACAGGCATTCAGAGCGGGCAGCCCACCCCCGTGCTGTGTGGGCATCAGGGGGGCGGGGCACCGCCCTCGGGCTGGGTACTCACAGGCAGTGATGGGCCAGGTCTGACAGACCGTGCAGCTCTCCAGGGGTCCGTGTGTCACGGATCGCAGTATCAGGTGGCTGCAGAGGAATCTTTCAGGAACAGACTGAAAACTAGCCAATGGCTTCTCTTCTTAGTAACAGCAGCTGTCCAATCACAGTCTGCCTTTTGGATCTGAAGTTGTCAAAGTTATGTTAAATAAGTTTAAGTTTGGCAAACCATAATGGATGACTTAAAAAACATGATTGAGAGCTAAGAATCATTCGTCATGGGTACCAGTGTACTACAGAAGTCTGTGTGAAGGCTCTGCCTGTGTCCTTTTAGGACAAGTGCGGTTTTAGGAGCTGTTAGCCTTCAGGAGCCGTTACCCTTTAGGAGCCGTTACTTTTGGGGAGCTGTTACCCATCAGAGCGGTTAGCTTTTAGCTACTAACCTTCAGGAGCCGTTACCCTTTAGGAGCTGTTACTTTTGGGGAGCTGTTACCCATCTGAGCGGTTAGCTTTTAGCTACTAGCCTTCAGGAACCGTTACCCTTTAGGAGCTGTTACCCATCGGAGCGGTTAGCTTTTAGCTACTAGCCTTCAGGAACCGTTACCCTTTAGGAGCTGTTACCCATCGGAGCGGTTAGCTTTTAGCTACTAGCCTTCAGGAGCCGTTACCCTTTAGGAGCTGTTACCCATCGGAGCGGTT